TGTAACATCATTGCGTTATGTTCATTTCTCGCGAGCGTTTATTTATTGATTGATTGATTGATTGATTGATTGATTTATTTATTTATTTATTTATTTATTTATTTTTTATTTATTTATTTATTTATGAGAATAAATGCTCTACTTATCGCAGGGACGTAGATATTTCCGCATTATTCATCCATTATAATTGGAATATGATTTATTTGCAAATTACAAAAAAAAAAAATAAACACTCATTATAAAGTTGTTATCGCCTTCCTATACACTTACCGGAAACATGAGGAGATTACTGATGACGTCAGATTGAAGAATTGTTATCGATTTAGTCAGGAGACAAAGATCTTACATATTTCATATCAATTTTATAATATAGATTCTAATACTATCACACCATGAAGATGTGACTATGCATCTTTGTATGTAACGATCATAACCTAATATGTATTGACATTATACGCTTCAATTCACAAGTATTACATGTATTTTTAACGTTATATGTAAATGTTTAGATTTAATCAGGTAAGTTGTTTTGTGATAAAAATCGAACTCTGTTAGTTTTATCGCCTCGTTAACAGCCAGGGTAATTTGAGGTGGGATCTGACAGCTGTTGGCTACCTCATTGAACAACATACGGGAGGCCTGCGGCATGCCATCCTGAGCAGTCAAGGTAAGGTGACTTACTCAAGCACAGAATCACGTCAGCACGGGCTGTTCCGTGTCTCAGCTTCCTTAAAAAGCCAAACCACCATGATAGGGAGTGTTAAACCACACGCCTCGTATCTCCACCTTTTCCAAAGTCGATCTCGTCGTGTATATATACTAGATAACAAAGATTATAAACGAATTAATAGGTACCATAAAAGTTTTCTTGTTTTCAAAAGATCAAGAAATTATACGTTTTAAGTCTCCTCATGAATTTCTGAAATACACAAATAGTTCATGTTCTCACTAGATACTTTTGTATATCTAAGTCCTTGACAAAGCAACATTTGGTTTATTTAGATACATACACGAAGTCATATAATTTATAAACGTAACCTTTGTTGGAAGGACAATGATTTTGCATAGAAGCTTATATAACTAATTTCTATTGTTTTAACGTGTGATTGATTAAGTAAATAATGCACGATATGATTTTTATAAATGTGAAACCGATTTTATTACATTTTATTATTATAACACATTATAGTGTTGGAAGTTATTCAGCAGATTGCTCCCGTGTCAGCACGTGAAATCATACAAAGTACGAAAGATCTACAAGTTATTTTTTTCGACATATGGCATATATTTCACTTAAAATAGATAAAATACTTCATATAAATTGAAAGTGTATGACATATTTCTCAGTTTACTTATGTCACTTAGTGAAGAGATTGGACAGTTAGTTACTAGTGAATGTAAGGTAACAGGTAACAGGTGCTCTATCAAATCGTGACGGAATCTCATAGCTCCGTTACCTGGCCCTAAAATTGTCGTGTCTCTACCGATAGGACCTGTATGTGTATAAGATGTACGTGTGTACACTATCGCAAGTGTGTAAAGAAAGTGTGCAGAATGTACCACGTGTTTATCACACATGTTTAAACTACGATAATCTATGTGGACACGTGTGAACAATATATACATATAAAGAACACGAGGTTGTTACACAGATTAGCCCATGTTCATGTGTACATTAAAACACGTGTATACACTGGGGTCTGGTTTATTTCTTGTTGGTCTTCAGTAACTAAAGAATGTCCATATGCTTGTAAAAATATTATCTCAATACTTATTCCGTCAACCTGTCTTTGTTTTGGCAACTATTAAATCCTTTGTTGCTTTGTTTGGACCGAAATTCTTTAATAAATGATTTGTCCACTATGTCAGTTTAGCCCTGTGTGGGTACGTAACTTCATGTAGTATACTATATCGTACAATGTATATCATATACAGCTGTGTACGTACCGTCCGTGTCTGAATTACTGTTAGATTAACTGTCAATATATCATCGGTCACGCCTCAATGAACAGTCTGATCGCTTCCATTTGGCTCGGCAGACTGGATTATTCAGTCCGTCGCAGGTCTTACGTGGAGTCATTGGAAACTTATCACATTGGTTATGTGAACTGATATTGTATAAAAGAACAAATCCATAATTAGCTCTAAAAATGACTGATAAATATCAAACATTATACATTGTACGTAAAGCCATGTTAAATATAAAATAAATAAATAAATAAATAAATAAATAAATAAATAAATAAATACCCCCTCCCCCACCTAAAAAACAAACAAACGAAATAAAAAAAAAGTGAAAGGGACAACTGCATTAAATTGTAGCCTGAACCAGTCACAGAAATCCCCCTTTGAACAAATTAAGGTAACTTGTCACCCTCCACTAATACTTCTAATAAGGTTTTAATCATTTATCGTGGAAATGAAACACATATTATGATCATTATACCTTAATTATCTAACTGTGAGACCCTTTGGCCATAAAAGTAACAATTTTGGTAACCTGCCATCCATGAAAAGTAAATCTCCGATAACGACTTTCCCTGTACATATATAGAGATACATTAAATTTACAAGCTTCATTTCACCAACGATTTAAAGTTATGTTCGTTATTTTATTAATTTCTATTATGTCGTGTGTTTTTTATCACAGGAGACTGAGATGTGGCAGTGTGCATTTGATCACGAGAGACTGAGATGTGGCAGCGTGCATTTGACCACGAGAGACTGAGATGTGGCAGTGTGTATTTGATCACGAGAGACTGAGATGTGGCAGTGTGCATTTGATCACGAGAGACTGAGATGTGGCAGTGTGTATTTGATCACGAGAGACTGAGATGTGGCAATGTGTATTTGATCACGAGAGACTGAGATGTGGCAGTGTGTATTTGATTACTAGAGACTGAGATGTGGTAGTGTGCATTTGATCACGAGAGACTGAGATGTGGCAGTGCGTATTTGATCACAGGAGACTGAGATGTGGCAGTGTGCATTTGATCACGAGAGACTGAGATGTGGCAGTGTGTATTTGATCACGAGAGACTGAGATGTGGCAATGTGCATTTGATCACGAGAGACTGAAATGTGGCAGTGTGCATTTGATCACGAGAGACTGAGATGTGGCAATGTGCATTTGATCACGAGAGACTGAAATGTGGCAGTGTGCATTTGATCACGAGAGACTGAGATGTGGCAGTGTGCATTTGATCACGAGAGACTGAGATGTGGCAGTGTGCATTTGATCACGAGAGACTGAGATGTGGCAGTGTGCATTTGATCACGAGAGACTGAGATGTGGCAGTGTGCATTTGATCACTAGAGACTGAGATGTGGCAGTGTGCATTTGATCACGAGAGACTGAGATGTGGCAGTGTGTATTTGATCACGAGAGACTGAGATGTGGCAGTGTGTTTTGTTCACGGGGACTGAGATGTGGCAGTGTGTTTTGTTCACGGGGACTGAGATGTGGCGGTAGGTGCTTGATAAAGGCATAATGAGATATAGCCGTGTATATTTGATCACGCGTTAATGAAAAATGGTGGTGTGTTTTTGATGACAGGGGTCCGAGATGTTGTTTTAGGTATTTGATCTCAGGGGACTGACATGTGGCGGTAGGTATTTGATAAATGGATGTAGTGTTGTGTATTTGGTCACGGTAGACAGAAATTTGTGGTTAATAACGAAGTATATATTAAGATTTGACAATGCTTTTACATTTTCAAAGTGTAATTAAAGTTTTTAGACAAAAATGTACAATTTTTGTTTTATATCCAAATGTCGAAGCTGCCAGTGTGTAAATTACGCGTTCCGCGCTAGAAATTGTCTCTTAGAATCCTGAATTTTGTTCATTTATAACATTTTAAATGTGTTTCAGTACTTTTATAACAGATTTTACTAATTAGAAAATTGTATCTTTGGTTCAGCTTGCTTATATTAGCGAGAGTTTCCAATGGATTGTTACGAACCAGCCTACGAAGAACAACGCATAGCAAATGGCAAATACCATTCTTCACAAAACCCTCGTTTCAAGGCATTTTGTCCGTTCACTCTTTTAAACTAAGAATGAAATTTATCAAGCTACCGAATAACTAAGACGAGTAAACAATATGCATCCATGAAATATCTATTACAATACAGAGAAGTTAAAAGCGTTGGAAATGATTTCACCAAAAAATTGCAAGCATACCAGCAACAAGAACGATAACTGTACTTGACTTCACACTGAACCTCGTGTGTACTGAGACAAGTTGCCATAAAAGGAAGTCAGTTTTATTATTCGCATTACGCGAAACTTAAAGCATACAATAAGTATATGTCATAAGAGTTTGGGACGGCAGATTTTCAAGTAATTTAACCGTCTCAAATAGCAACATTAGGGGACAGTCTGTCCGCGATCTCGATGTCAAATAACTTTCTTATGCTTAGGTAGCAGGGGGCACCTTTACCGTAATTAATCCTTATGGAATGAAATTTCGTTGAAAAATAAGACGGATAGCCCATCATTTTATTACTTGCTTTTCTTTTGATAACACGTTACGGTGAAATACTTGAATATTGGTCCATAATCTTAACAATAATTTACAGTGAATCGCACAGGAAGCCATATGTTTTGCAAAATATTTTCCCTAAGGAACCTCAACCGCAGTGCGTCACAATGGCCCGCCTCTCTCCCGCCAAATAGCATACGAACAGTTATATTACGCTTATAATTCGGCCAAAGCTCCAAAAATGCATTGATTTCATCGTTATATATTATTATGTCATTGTTACGGCTCATCTATACCAATAAATATCTTCATAATTAAATATTTGTTTATTTTGTTCGTGCCCTGCATGTTTTCTACATCGCGGTTGCCATGTTGGATATGAGCGGCCCATGTGACTAGTGAGGAGATAGGCCAACCTGCTTGATAGCATTGAACTGCATTTTCGTCTCCTTAGGCAGCGTTTTCTTGTAAATTTTCGTCAACGTTCAACTGATACAGTTGTAAAGAAAGGCTTAAAAACGGCTTTTTTCAAGGATTTTGTCACGTAGTCAGTCTACAGCCAGAAAAGTAAGTGAAAATGTGGTTTGTGTATTCGATTCTGATCATGGCACGAGTTAGACGCCATATTCTGCAGTGTAATGTAGTGGCAGCGTCACGTGTAATTCTTCGTTCTCGACACATTTCTGTATTTTGAGCTATAATATACAAATGACAATATCTAGAAATAAACACACTGTAGATATAATGTTCTGAATTAGGTTGTTATAGTGGTCTTTAGGTAAAATCCTGTCTGTCGGACGCGTTGTGACCCGCCTTGATCAAAGTGCTCAAAACCCTCGTGTTCATTTGAAACAAATTGATCAAGGGCCTTGGTGACAGACCCGGGAAGGTGTCCATTCACCAAGACATCACTCCTAAACTTATCTATTCCGGTCCAAAGATAATTTCTATAGAATAAGTCATATGCAAATGATTTATCACGAAACATAAGCTAGCATGCTTTCCTCGTGGAAAGCGGAAATTCGTATGTCCGTCAGCCATTTCAAGATGGCGGCGTCCATGGTATTTCCTAAATTCAGAAGATTTTGAGGATTTGTAGCCTTAAAAGCCGTCAAAATGGTTCTGATGCAGGTAAATCCTGAGATTATTTAAGAGCGGGCGTCTTCCGTTGTATGTTTGCATAAATATTGTAATGTGCGTGAGCTGCACTTCGACAATATGTTAATATATAGAATGATGCACTCTGCCCATATATTCTGACCTTGTCCTTGACTGTTTTATACAGTTGATATCTCATGAGGGTGTAGTTATTGCTCAATAGTCCTCCAGCCCCACAAAAATATTGATAATCATCACATTGTTTAGTTCTATCTATCCAAATATGTTGTTGTTGGTTAATATGTGCTAATTAATTCAGTGTGATGCAAGTTTTAGTTCCAGTTAATGTCTTGAGAACTAAATTTAGAAGTGAACTCATAATGCAAGCTAAATTATTATTGAAAGACTATGATGAATGATAACTGGATTTTTTAAAACTTTTTTATACCATTTTTCAGCTCATTGTATAAACCGTGATCCCTTTTTCAGAATGCAAATATATGTTGTGTAATGACTAATTCCAAAATTTGTCCTGGTTGTCAAAAAAGAGTTTAACACATCATCTCACTAAAATATCACACAATATTATATGAAATATAATATTTGTTTTTATAAGTACCCCCCTTCCAAATGATACCCCCTCCCACTATATTTATTCTAATGAATGCCCCTACCTTATTTTAAGTTTTTCGTTGTACAACTTGCCATGCCATGTTTCCTGTTCATACATGTGCAGTTGAATTCCAAAATATACAAACTTGTAATATCATTGTAAAAATCTTCAAGGCAATCACAAAATGATCACCATTTCTATTTACAAAGGTGTTAATGTGGGCTCAAAAGCTAGACTTGTACAAAAAAATTAAGCTCTTTGTCTTTGAAGGATTATAATTCCAGGAGGTGATTATTAGAATCAATACAGTTTGTCCTGACTGCGATCTCTTGATTCACTGTTGATGACAGTATAAATAATGGAACTCATTAATCTCTTGATACTCCCTTTAATGATCTGAATTTGTTTATTGATTTGAATTTTGTAGTTGTAGCTGTAATAATTGATGGATGATGTTGATTCAGGTCAATTGACTATGCAGTGCTTTTTTAACAACTGTAAATCAACTGCTTCTTCAGATAAAAAATGATGCTATTTTCCTAAAATAAAGTAAAAATTCAGAACATTTTCTCACATATGTGTTGTCCTAAACACTTGGCACTGGTTTAAAAGCATCAAGGATTAGTTTTATCAGTTTGGGATATAGCGTCTTTGGTTTTTTTTACTTGTTTCTGGAGTCCATTTTATGACAGTGGATAGACTTTTATCAATGAATCAGAATATACGTTTGTGAGTACATCACCAAGTGACTGAAATTTAATCAAATGTCAATACAAAGTCAGGCCAAGCTACTCTTTTATCAATTATCTAATCCTTTGATAACTGGTGTGTAATACATGTATATCCTTGATAGCCAGTCCATTCAGAGTCAATGCTGATATTTATAGCATTGATACTGGTAAACAGTACACTGATTACATGCTGAGGATTTTTAAAATTATGGTCTCTATTTTTTCAAGCTCTTGAAAAATGAAATTCATTATAGAGTACTTCTGTGGAAACAGTTTTCATGCAGACATTTAGACACATGGTTCCATCTTTTATTGAAAGGAAATCTTTCCAAATGATATTTGATGAAAGAAAAGGTTTTGAAATTATTTGTTTCCTTTTTACTGTAAGCTTTAGGTCAAATTTTCTCTATACTGTATAGGGGACAGTTAACTGAAACTTAACAAAGTCAGCTGTTTGTTCATTACATCTAGGCCAACATCTGACACAGTCGGGTGACATGTCATTCTTGTATACCGAGATTTATTACACTTCTTAAAATGTCAATAATGCTTAAGACCTCCATACTTACCTTTTGAAGCTGACAGGAGCCTTATAGTTCAACAATTAACACTTTTATATTTTTATTTATTTCTAAATTGATTAATAATTTCTAGAATGCCATGTTGGGTTTTGTCACACAAATTTTGCTCCTTTCATTTTGGAATGATATAATATTGTTGGGATAAAGACTGTACAGATCTCTGCTATATACTGATAAAAGAAATGTTTTTGTAATATAAATTGCAAGTTGTCAGGAAAATGCTTAAAATGCTGTGATAATGTTTATCATCTTTTTCAAATGAAGGATTTTTAAAAATATTTCATAAAACACAAGGGCAAATCAGTTCTCATCAGTTGATATCTCTCCTGTGTTTGTATAGTTTACTGCCTTTTGACAACCTGGGTTATTTGAGGAGGGGTCGGTCTCCATTTTGTAGTTAGTGGGCAGTGGTGACTACTGAACAACCTGAGAGGCATGTCACATGTCATCAAGAACACACATCTTAGACAGCAGAGATTGGGTATCTCAGCTTCCTGAGAAACAACCCATTACAGGTTGGGAGTGCTGAATCACATGCCTTGGATCTCCACCTAAGGTTGCATAGTCCAATTAATTAATACTGTTTTGTACAAGATAGTGCAAAATGATATCATACATTGTAATCTTGATCAAGGTTTTTCCATGGCTCCTTTTTACTACCTTGTTATCAGGAAATAGGGGGGGGGGGAATAAAAAATTGAACAGATTACAGAATTTGAAATACAGAGTCAAATTTCTATAAATGTGAGCAGAATCTTAAAATTAACCATATACTTAAAAATCCCGTTTGATCGAGGGGTTGAACTTTATCTCATACATTTTATCTTCTATCTAGCAATTAAACCTAGTTTGTTTTGTTGAAGAGCGAGAACATTATCCTGTGCACCAACAGCATTGCCAATAAATTACCAAGAGTTGCTGACCATTGTATGACCGAGCACACCTTCTAGTATTGATTTTAGTGATGTCTGTAATAAGCATGTGCTAGTAGTCATTCATAAACCTATGACAGAATATTAGTCATTCAGATTGATCTGCCCAGAGATCTATAGAGCTGTATTCTGTTGGAGGATTTAAACTAACTCAGACTTGTATCCATATGGTCTAGTTCTTTAATTAGACATTCAGGACTTTCAATAATGAATAATGTTAGACATGCACCAAATTCTGTTTAATTCGAATATAACACAAGATTAAAAAGTTAAGGTCTAGGAATCAAGTTTATATTTGGATTTTGTCCATATAAAGCACCGATGCCAGTCTGAGTTCAAACTGTCTATCCAGGATGACTTCTGGACAGGAATAAATATTTGATGAGACAATTTTGATCAAGGTCAGTGGAGTGTGTGGGCACAAAGGTAACCAGAAAATAAAGAATTTTGTTTTCACACTTTAACATTAAGGGAAGATTTAGGTCCAACCTGAAAACCATACATAGAATGGAGCACATTTTAACACTATGTCAGTTGGATTGGGACAATTAGTCTAAAAGAATTTCTCAATAGAAATGCCATGTTTAGGTCACAACCAAGTAAGTTTACATAATGAAAATGGGAAACCGAAAGTAGGCATTACTGAATGTTTTGGTTGTGGTGTGTATTTATGTGCAGGTATCTAATAAAAGCTATTTCATCAGGTAATTATCAGACACAATATTATAGGTAAATAAGAAGTTGATTTGTTAAATGATAGACAAAGGAAACAGAAAATTCTGTTAATTCAAACATTTTAGGAACCTCAGCCATCGGCATGATTTTTAGAACACCTGATCAAAAGGACCAGTGATCTTATGCCATACCATGATCTATATACTTCATAACCTCTTCTTTGAAATCCTAATTTTGCAGTAATTCCTGGATTCTGTCCCAATGACCATTTAAACTGTTTTTTAAATTATTGTTCTGATATTTATTGTCTTCCTTCATTTCTTAGAAGACCTACAGGCACAGATCATTTTTTAAATGGATCAGGTGGGTTTTGGAATAATTTTAGTCTCCAAAGGAAAGGTAGAAATCTGAAAGAGGAGGATTTAGAAATTAAATGGTAGTATGATACCATATTGCATTGACAATAAGAACATGTCTGGTAATAAGCCCACCCACATCATTGTTCAACTTTTGCTTTACCCTGTTAAGCCCACCTCCTGATTTGAGCCAGAATTTGTATGTTGATACTTTGGACTTATATCATTTAAAATCATTATAATAGTTAAAATCATGGTGGTTTGTGTTAATGGGTAGTTAGGAAACAAAATGGTCTCTGCAGTCCTTTGGCATGAAAAATTACCCTTATTGCTTTCATTACATCTGAGGGGCCTCCTGTATGTTGTTCGATGAGGTAGCCACTAGTTACTGCAAGTAGACCGTGCCCCCCACAAAGTTCCCAGGCTGTCCATGGGGCAATAAGCCCAATAAACAAATAGGATAAATACAAATATTTAGATATAGAGACTCGTGTGATGTATCTGTGTACTTATGAGTAGAGGGATAGAATTTCTATATTGGTTTACATGTAGGTAACCAGGAAATTGGTGTGCTATATATT